AATAAATTTCTACAAATAGTTAAAAGCGTTCAGGAATAGAAATTAAACGTTCATGAGGTGCCATGAAAATTTATATTTTTCTATGATAAAAATAAAATTAATTGATCGGTAAACCAAATCTTCATTAAGACGGTTTCTTGAATTATAGTGAATTATTTCTCTTGAAAAACTATTTTTTCTAGAGAAACTGACAGATTCATGCTCATACATACCAGATATCAACTACATGGATGCATGTAGATATTTCTTACGCAGCTGCTTTTTCCTAAATAAGACAAAGCAGGGGTACATATGTGAAGCGCCTAACGAGAATTGAACTTATTATACAAATGAAACTACCTTCAAAGCAATCCTTGTGTGTTTGATGAAATTTAGCGCGGGTAAAACAATTTAATTGATGAATTGATAATGTATAATAAGTAATAATAATTATTATTATTATTTTATTTCCGTAGATAATAATAAATTAACACGTCCCAGTGAAAAAATATCTCTCAGTAAATTAAGTAAACGAACTAAAATTGCCCCATTCATTTACCTCCAGCCGCAAGTTGTAAAGCTTGACATCTCTTTAGATAAATTCATTTTTAAATCATGACGAAAGCTTAATAACATGTCGCAAATTAAGGCTTATCAAACCGAGAAAGACTATAAAAAATTCCTAAACGGTTTGACACACCCACTTCCACTATATTTACCATCCTTCATAAAGTAAAACAAATTGATACAATATCAATACTTGTAAGGCCGATTCTTTCAAGAAAGATTTCAATATGAGCGATGACTAACATCACAAAGAAAGTTTCGATTAACATGAAATCGAGCATAAGTGATTTCCAGATTGATTCGAAATAAATGTAAACGATGTACACATTTTAAAACAATTTGTACAACATTAACTCGACAAGGATTTCACGCACAAATTGGCGCAAAAAAGCCACCACAGAAGAAAATACATGGAAGAGTTTAGCCTTCTTCAAAAAAGGTTGAAGTTGATTAGTTGATAATTACTAGAATATATTTATTTGGTCAGATGCAACTGTAGCAAATTTAAGACATAACGAGGAACAAGAAAAATAACCTAGAGCAAGTTGAAGAATTAACATCGTAATAATAAAGCAAGTCTGTGATAACATCATTGTACGAGCTTTGACTGATGCAGCAGGTACAAGAAAACTGAACAGTATGAAAGGGAAATGTATTCACTAATAATCCAGGCTTTCGAAAAGTCTATTTAGAGATCTTTCAATACGAAACATAATTCAAAACCTACTCCAGAATCACAATCACATCGCCTAAATTCAGTCAAATATTTGTGGTATGAAGAGAAAATTCATAAACGGAAGTTATTGAATCTAAACGATTTAGAACGATTCATAACAAAAGAATGATTGAATTATCAATGACTACAGAAAATATATATTTGCAATGATTGGAATTTAGCTTCTACTGCATATTATTTGATGAAGAGGGCGATTACATATGCAAAAGCCATTATCATACAGTATTAATAGTTAGGAAAATAAAATATTATTAATAATAATATTAATTCTTCCTTGTTATTAATTTATGTTAATTGACAAAGTAAACGTCATCTAATCAAATTTGGAATTATTAATTCAAAAAATAAGGAAAATAATCAATAACTTCGCATCAAACTACATATATATATATATATATATATATATATATATATATATATATATATTGTTAAAATATATAGAAAATAGGAAAAGAACGGGTTAGGTAGATCCAAAGTTCCTTAGTATTTTAGTTATTATTTTTTAAAAATAGTGCTCGATACAAATGTAGAGCATAAATATAATTATTTATTTAAAAATATGATTCCAACTCGCGACATAAGAGATCTCATGTTTCAAAACAAGAGCCGAAAACTTCAATATAATTATTTGAATTAAATTGAGTTAAAAAAAAGCTCCGTTCCATCTTCAAGCGAAATTTTTTTTGGAATAACTTATTTCAGAAATTTACCTGTTTTAATAATTGAAATCAAAATTTCCATGGTAACAGCTAGGGCGAATTGTTTAAATTGGGTCCACGAAGAATGATTTTAAAACTAGATGGAGGCAGCATAAGTGCTCTTTCAACAATATAAATAAAAGAAACCAGACTTCCCTATCTAAATATTTTTGGCATCTGAAGGAAATAAATAGGACGTCTAAAGTAAAATGGAAAATTATAAACAGGACTAGAACATGTAAAACTTGGGATGACCCATGCCCTTTGTGCCTCCATGAGAAGCTGCATATTATTAAGTTTCTAAATAATAATAATCTATTAAACAATAGACATGAGTTAACGGTTTTCTCTCGACATCATCAAATCTATAGTTTGAATGATTAGCTAAAAACAAGCATACAATATAATAACTTTTATAATCCATAGCCAAAATAAATACTTTAAATACCCTACAAAAAGAAAACCCTTTATGAAGTCGTCAAAAAACAAAAGTTATGGCAGTTTTTATATGCACAAATACCTTTCATAAAGAAATAAAATAAAAAAATTATAAAATCTCCGTAGACACGTAAGCCAGACTAGGCTAAAACATCTTCCGTTTCAAATTTAGACACCCCCACCTTACCCTGACTTGACATCTATGAAAGTAACTCTATACTGATACTTATTATTAACACCCAACACACGCCTACCCAATTTAATTATATATAATTTAATTATATATATATATATATATATATATATATATATATATATATATTAGGGGCAAAGTGTACATGTTTGCAACGCATGCACTGCATGTCTTACATGTTTCCAGGATATATAATTTTGTGTAATATAAAATCAATTATTTCTCTATCCTCTTCGTACTATTTTTTTGTATATCTCATTTCTTCATTTCTTAGGATAATTGTTACAAGCAATATTAGTGTAATTGGGAGTAGAGAAAACCCATGTTGTTTAGCTAGAAAAGACGCAAGCAAAAGCAATGAATTTACTGCCATTTTAAGTAGAGAACTTGAGAGACAGAGCATAGTGAGTGGATGAAAGAGAGACAGTCACCGAAAAGCAGAATTTCTTTTGCTTGCTTTAGAAAAGTTCATGGCATTAGCCGTCCCTGTTTATTTTTCCCTTCAAGTTGGGTGCATGAAAAAGAGAGACAGAATAATAAAGTGGGGAGTCACAGAAAGAAAGTCAGCGAAAAGCAGAAATTCTGTTGCTTGCTTTCCAGCCGTATTAAGCCAACATACACTCTCCACTGAAGTGAAGATGATTTTATTGCGTGCGGCTGAAATCAAAGACTTGCCTATTCAAAGGATTTATGGTCGGACAGATTTGGACGAAAATTTTACATTATTCGGCACTGAAGAGCATATAGGGGACGTTTGACGACTTTAGTGTCACATCCAATGTTGTTTTTGTACTGACATTTAAAAAGTTTTAATCCATGGAGAGTATTCTTGACCCTTTCTTAGGACTCGAATTCAGTCATTTGACCATTACCATAATTTTTTTTGACTAGTTCATACGTGGAGCGAAAAGAAGCAATCGGCGAATTAAAGTTTTCTTTCGTTTCAATGCCTTAAGATTTGATTTTAAATGTTCAAAATTATGTTTTAAAATTATGTAAAAAGATGTTTTGATAATATTATTTCATCAAGCATGTTAAATTTTGTTAAAGGACATCTTTTAAAAAATTACTTCAATACAAAATTTTAAAATGAAATTAAAAGTATTTAAATTCAAATTTCATGTATTAATGTTGGTGTTGTTTTAAAGAAGAACCGTTGAACTTTATCTTAAAGAACATTTGGGTAATTAAAACAATTTAAAATAAAACAGTATTAATTTAGTTTACGTCAAAATTACGGATTTTTATTTTTCCAATCATCAATCAGCGCCATTTTCTGACACCTGTCGTCAAGCGATAAGAAAATTATTTAAACATTTTTGAAAATTAAAAATAAAAATATCTAAGTAACGTTAAAACAGAAACTGTTAATTTGATGAATTGTGAACAAGATAAAACCAAAATTACGTTTTCCTCTTAAAAAGCAGTGAAAAACTTTTTGCGAGGGTGGTCTCATTTTCATACACAGCAAATAGGTTCTCATTTTCCCTCTCCACCTTGGCGATTAGCCTGCATAATGGATGCATGCCCTGATTCCCAAGTCACCCTACGACACTGATATGTATATATATATATATATATTAGGTGAGCAGTGATGACATGACTGAGCGGGGACCATCTTCAGACCATGTTGACGTCAGTGTCCACTATATTTACATACGCTTTATCTAAGATATTGACCACTTTTACCCATAAAAATAGCATACCTTAAAACTATATTTTTATCATATATATATATATATATATATATATATATATATATATATATATAGATGTATGTATGCATATATATACATGGAGTAAGTTGATGAGTGCGACAATATTATTGCTTGAAACTTTAGTTATAAAAAATGGTGTATTTAAGTATATTTAGGCAGCAATAATTCATTTAAACAACCTTTGTTAAATTCACGCGACATTGTTTTGTTTTAATTTTTGTTACAGTTTTATAGTTTTCCAATGAGTGTTTGTATATACAAATTGTGATTGTGGATAAACTGTCCAAAATTCATGCTTTTATCTGAATACTATATACTGAAAAAATAATATGAACTTCGTACAGTTTATTCACAATTTTAATCCCGATGTACAACATCGCATTCAAAAATTGGAAAATACACTAAAAAAAGATAAAATGCATATAGCGTAATTTAACAAAAACTTGAATGTGTAATTTTTATTGAATATACCTTATATATATATGTGTGTGTGTGTGTGTGTGTGTGCGTGCATATGCAAGAGTATATGAGAGAAAGAAAGAGAGAAAATGAGACCGTGTGTATGTCTGTCTATCTGTTTTAGTCAACTAACTTCATTGAAAATGTTATAATGTGAAATCACTTAAAAAGTGGGCGTGATAGTTTTAATAAAGGAGAAGGAGAGAAGGTTTTTAGACGATAAGAAAGAATGTGGTTGAGGTTGAAAGAAAGAAATAAGAGTGAAATTTCAAAAGTGGGAGAGAAAATGTAGTAGGGAGAAAAGTAGTGTCAATAAAGAAGAAACAACATGAGAAAGAGAGAAAAGAAAAATTCAAAATTGAATTCAGATGGAGAGAGAGTAAAAATCTTCATTGCGTGCGACGATTAGAGATAAACTAAAATAAAATTCTTCTTTACATGAAAGTTATATGCCATGAAATCTTAAAGCAATTATTATTATTATTATTATTATTATTATTATTATTATATCAATTCTTTCTTTATTTTTTCAGATACACATGCGACTCAAGAGGAAAATTGTCTTCAGAGAAATTCATTCTACCATTATGTTTTATCATAGCTTATAAAAGAAAATAATTCAGTTGAAAATCATTGAAACATTTCAAAGTGAAACATGTTTCATTTTTGAATTGAAAAGAAATGTAAAATTATATTTTATTCAACCTCCTAAGTAAAGAATTTAGGGTTATAATTTCTTTCAGGGCTTATTTAGGGTTGGATTAAAAGTTAGGGATCTGAGTGTTGGGTTTTTAAAGTCAGAGATTGCGTGTATAGATTATAATTTGTCACCCCACTAACAACACACACAAACACACACACACAAACACACACACACAATGAATTATGTCGTTTAGCCCGTTATAAAATTAATTTTGGGAATAAATATTTTCTCAAGAAAATGAGTAAAGCCCTGATCATAAAAATATCTTAGGCAGGTTCCTAGCGAAAGGGTAACATTTAGAATTTTATTTTATCATTAATGCTTTCATTAAAATTAAATATAAATATCTTTTCAGTATTACAGTCTGTATACAAGTTGACCCAGTCAAGGCTGATAATGGTTGTAACAACATTTTCCGTTTATTATTTTCTGGGACGTCGTTCACAGATGCACATATAAACTTATAAACTATACAAATATTTATCAGTTTTAAAGATTAAACGATGATCAGGTTATGTTAAAGTAGATTTAATTTAATGTAAACCGATAAAAATTTTTAAGCTTTAAGTTCAAAAAAATTACTTAAAATGTTCCAAAAACTTTTCTATCAAAACATAATTTACGCTTCAAGGTTCAAAGAAAGGGAAAAGATAATATTGAGTTGAAACGAGTTATTTAAACGTAGCAAGAAACTATCTGAAAGTCAGTCTCCTTACTGTGTATGTATGCTTATATCTATATATAAAATGTGTGTATATATATATATATATATATATATATATATATATATATATATATATGTATGTATATATGTATATGTAAATATATATTTATGCACATGTATATATATGTGTATGTTTGCCTTTCTATGTGAGTGTGGATGTATGTATTCGTGTGTGTACTGTCTACATGTACGCAAATTTCATTAAATAAGTATATGTAAACATTTAATTAGAAATATAAAATTTAATTTGCGCACAAATATACTTATGCACTCATTCAAATCGTCTATTTATCATGAACACACACAAGCTCGCAAATAGATGTACATACACACATACACACAATTGTAATACTTTGGCTAAAATTTATTTTCACTTTCCTTCAAAAATGTCTCTTGCGTATAAATTAATCAGAACCTTCCAGCACTAATTTTATAAATAAATAATTATGCAAACTTATTTCTTTAATTTTTTTAATCTTTCAACTGTTTCTTGATTTCGTACCTGATGGTCATATTCCGATTATGTTGAACAAGTATTTTCGGTCCGTTTATTACAAAAAACAAAAAGTTGAAATAGGGAGAGGGATAATTCAAGAACGATTGTAGCAATAATTAGCAATTATACTTCATAGGTTGATATAGCAATTATATCTTGTAGGTCGAAGGTTAAAAATAATTTCAAATTCTCAGAAAAAGATGTGATCCAGAAAATTTCAGATAAATCTGCTAACTCTTTCTTTTAAATATTTAAAACAAGAATGACGTACTGAGCACAACGAAGAAGGAATTAATTAATGACAGCCGTCAAAGAAAGGAGTTTATTAGTTCTCTTTTCACCATCCGTATATGTGATCGTACATTGTTTTCTATTACTTTCATGTAGGTACCTCCACTTTCTTCGCAGAAAAAAAGCATAACACGATGAAAAAGGCCCCAAACTCAATAAAAACAAAGTTTTGTCATCAAAGTGTTTGTTATTATTAAGAGGAAAGACAAAAGCATTTTTTGATTATTTTTGGAATTTTTTTAATCCTTTCTGGCATATTTGAAATTTTGGTTAAAAATCTTGTTTTGTTTACGTCAGAGACGTAATAATAACGATTAGTTTTTTTTTCGGGGGAGGGGGTGCGCTTTATTTCCGGTGAAAAACAAATTGATTTGAAAATTCTTGCAAAAATCAAATACTTGTCAGATTTTAATGAAACTTTCAGGACATTTAGAAATGGATGAAATTATTTTTGAAAATGTTTTTAGAAAATCTTGGTAAAAAATATTATTTTTTTTGTACTTATGTTACCACCCACTTACTTAATTTCATGAAATTTCGAGAAATTCTATTTTTAGGGCGGGGATTTTTTTTTTTTTTTTTTTTTTGTTAAAAGCAGGACTCATTGCATAATGTAAATCATCACTTTTTTTTTATTAAATAATCCATTCACAAAAATCTACTCTGAATTGTAAAAGAAAAAATGCAGTAAAAATATTATATTATTTAATGAAAAAAACTCATAATTGCTTTTATAATTTAAATTTATTAAGGACACTATTATCTTAAGAAGATTTTTTTCTCTGTATAATTAATACTTACAAGAATTGTTTTCATTTTTTTTAACTTCTAATTAAATAATCTATAATATTAAAAATAGTTTAAAATTCTGCATTGCTTCAAGGTGGCAGTTAGGTGATATTGTGAAGTGAAAACATTTAAGAATCAACAATTGAAAAGCTCATAGCAGTCGCTTATACACCAATATGTTTAAAAAATTTAAGAAGAAAATTTTTAGTGTATAAACGTTCCCAATGTGCAATTATGGTAAGCCATAAATGATATTATTATTTAAAAGGTCACGTGATTTAAGAGTTGTCTGCGACTCTACAATTCTTTCAATTTCATTATTGAGTTTTGTTTCATCCTTAACGTCATTGTAAATCAGCCCTTCAAAATTTCGAGTAAGTTTTACTTTTTAATTATTATTTCACTAAATATTTTTTATTTTATGTATTTGTTTTAGTTTGGGTCGTACTTCAATTAAGTCATGTTTTTGTTTAAGTTAGCAAACTTAAGAACATAGAGACGAAACCCAATCTTCATAAAGCATCTTCAAACGTAACTAAAAGTTAATAAAATATTAAATAATTGTTGAAAATATGTTAATTTGTAAAAATTACTAGGTAGTTAACCCCCCTCCTGCACCCACCAAAAATGTGTTCACTTATTCATATTAAATTTATGTAAATTCTGGTCATACATACTAGCTGACATCACCTAGGAACTTATCGATACGTCAATAAAGATAAAAGAAAAACAGAACCCTTTGTTTAGAAATGCTTATATATTACTTTTTATGCTATAAGTAATGTTTATTTCAAATCAGATTAATTTAACTTTAAATTTGCTAATTTTACTCAAATAACGGTCACAAATATATATTTTATTTTTGGAAGATTTTTTAAAATTGATAATTTGTTTTGTTTACAAATTTCTTAAAATTAAAGAAATGGTCGCTTGTAAGAAGATTTTCTAAAATCAGCCAAAAAGTTGAGATTCCGATCCATATAATTTCTGTTTGAAATACACCAGAATATTTTACTTACTGGACATAATAAATAAAATCATTTAGCTTTCAATTAAAATGAAATCTTCAAGAAGGCATTTTCATTTTTAAAAATTCAAACCTTTAACATCGAAATTTCAGTGGAGGTACATACTTTCATTACATATCAACCGAAAACTTAAAATGAATTAACAAATTCTAGTTTACACACACAGAAACTATAAACCTTAAATTAAAATTCTCGGTCTGTAATGAAAATATTGCTGAGATTGTGTTCAGTGAGACGTGGGTGGCTTTCGTCATCTAACGCTGAATTCGAGGTAATGATCGAAGAGAAGAGCTTCGTCTTATCTGTCAAGGAAGATATGAACTAGGGGTCATTTATAATAATGGGCACATCCACTTAGCCTCTATTCATAATTTAGTTTAAGATTTCCTCCCGATATATATTGAAGTAGTGCTTACGGTGAACTATGTCTGCAGTACAATCGGGAGTGAACCAGGGCTGGTTGTTTGGTTCTTGTTGGAATTTGTTTTTGGTGGTGGTTAGGGGGTGATATGAAACTCCACTCTAGAAATGATCCATTCTCAGACGAGGGCTGCAGTTTTGGACGCAGGATGCTCAAAGAAAGTTGAGAGAGGCGCTATCTAAAGCTGGCCTTGCCTTTATAGAGCGATAAATCTTTCTATGGAACGGCAAATCAGGGTATGCCTTTGGTTTGGCAGCAGTCTGGGCATGATTTGATATGCCTAGTGGGTGGGGGTAAAACATTAGCTAAGCATTTAACAGGGCAGGATGTTAGAAAGATATCGAGGAGGTTCGCTTGATGTCTCATCGCGTCCACGACACAGGTGGGTTCTACGATGATCTAGGCTAGTTCATAAGTGACAGAGAAGTCTCTGCCTTCTTTATCAGTTTTGTTCGAGTGGACTAACCACTCTTTGTGATGAACATTGAAGTCACCGCTTATGCAAACAAATGGTCGAGGAAAATTCACTGAGGATATTATTAATTCCCTCAGATATTCGATCGAAAATCAGTGTCCCATCGTCGGGACGACAGGGAGTGAAAGCGAATGTGGTACTATGGATAAGTGCCACACTGAAACAAATATATGGGAGATTAGGGTCCTTTTTTAATGAAGTGAACGTCTTTCAGTCGATGGCAATAAATTAGCTATTTTTTTTCAAAATCCCGAATCTCTCTTTTTTTTTTCAGAAATATGTGTGTTGCTTTTGAGTATATTATCATTATTTCATATTCACAATGATTAGCGTAAAAGACTGATTGATAGGAAGTCTTCTCAAATTTCCAACGATTTTATCATTATCTACGTAGACACCAGCACCACTATAGTTTCAATCCTTACTTGAATTTCGAAGACATCCATTCTCGATTCTAGTGTGTTTTTTTTTCTTCATATGTACCAACTTTTATGGTTAAGATCTGAATTTTTAGGCTTTTATAGTTTTCTCAGATTCGAGCATTTTTCCTCCTCATCATTATCATTTTATTATTGGTGAAGAATATATTGTTATCACTGATCACGGTACTCGATTTATTGGAACAACATCAGTTAAATCAATTGTTTATATCTTGCACATTTTCAAATTATAATAATTTAATTATAATTCTGAATTAAAGATTTTTCTCTTATTTTTATCTGAGAAAGTAAATATAATAAAAAGTATTCTTCTATCATGTTTTATTGCTCGGTAAATATACACAGAAAGATAAGCACGTACACACACACACACAAGCAGATATGCATGCACACATACACTTTAATATACGCTCAAACTCACACTGATATTCTCACAATACTTTGCATATAAATGCTACTAAAGTGTCAGTAATAAACGTCATCCAACTATTCTCAAATTATTAATATATATAAATATTTTCTATTACCTTCGTACATCTTCACATTTACATTAAATCATCTCCGGATTATTTATCATGCCTAATATTTGTAAATGCTATGGAAATTGTTTTGCAAATAGGAATGAAATAAAATTCTCGCAAAAATTCGATCTAATGTTCAAACTTGTACAAAAGTAAATTCTATCTTTTAATTCATTAGTAAGAAGAAAGCTTTCAGAACAAAAGAATGTGTGGGCTCTCAACAAAATCAGATATATGTGAAAAGTGATAGCGTGAAATGTTGTTTGCCTGTAAGCAAAAAAATCTATTAATTTGCATTAAAAATGTTTATGCGAAAATCAACTCGATTTTAAAAATCTTCAAAACATCAACTAATTATTTGATTTAAATAAAATTTTCTATATTTATTTGATAATAAAGGATGAAATTTTTTTTCCATTCCAAATTTAAAGACAAAAAATGATCTGAAGCAGCGAATGAGACGCAAGGCAAATTATGTGCTCAAAAACGAATTCTAGAGTAATTGAAGATCTGTGAAATGGCGGAAGGACGACGCTGACACAACAGACCATTTACGTGAATTCATCGTAGTGTTCAGTTTACGGCAAATTCAAGTTTTGATTTAGGAAACTTTTTTATATTTTTTTTCAAAGTTAATATGAACCGAAACTGATTCGTTCAAGGTAATAAGACTTTCCTTATAAATATATTTCAAGGCATTTTAAGACGACTGTGTATTTTTTTTTTTTTAGTGTCAGTGTTCAAAACTAAATATAAAAACTGGATCTTCAATGCTAACTTTTTTACTACAGCATTTCCCCAATTAGAATATTGCTGCAACGCAATCTCTGTAAGTCCATTCCTATCATCCATCCTGTGCTGGACTAAACAAACCATAGTAGGACCAGGTATTAGGTTAATGCTACAGGTTTCAGATTCAAGGAAACGGAATAAAAATATAACAACGAAAAATTATTATTATTATTATTATTGAGTGAGAGAGCAGTATGTCAACAAAGTAACGTTGGGATACAAATATACAAAACCCGTTATAGTCATTGGGATATCCATCGTGAAAAAGGTACACTAAGCAGATGCATCCCAACCAAATATACCCGAAATAGTGAAAGGTTTTGATAAAAGAAGCGCATAACTCTGCAGGCCAAGTTAGAAATACCTTCATGTCGGGTAACCCAGTGTCCCCTCAGACGGTCTCCAATTGAGTATGTTATTAAGTATCTAGACGTTACTCCCAAATAGCTTTGGTTGCCTCATCTTTTAAACAACACTTTCGACACAGGACCATAACGTTCCACACTACTCTCGCTCATGAATAGAGATACACAGTGCATAACTCTCACAGGGACATTCCCAACTGATTATGGTGGTACTGAACGGGATATTTATTGTAGCACATGTTAATCAGTTAAAACTAGAAGCCACGAGAGCCTTGTCTGGTCCTGCATCAGGATATTTATTATTATTATTATTTGACTTCTATCTTTGGCCGAGCCATTACCAATGACTTAAGACAACAGAAGTTTGAAGAGATTTACACAGTCGTTATCTTAACCATCCGATTATTATTATTATTATTATTATTATTATTATTATTATTATTATTATTGAATTAATCAAAGTTAAATTAAAAGTGTACTTTGCGTTTTATGTATAGAGAGCCAGAAAAACTTTATATCAATTTTTCGTACCCATAAAATGATTTCATTGACAAATTTGAAGAAAAATAAACGATGTCTAGATATTCCACTGGCACAAATAAAGGAAAAAGAAGAAAAATGTTAATGAACGACAATTATTTCTATTATTAAAAAGAAACTCATATGTGTCCGTCTTTTAACAAACTGGCAACAACTGGCCCCACCAAAACGGTCTGAACGCTCACGAAGGAAAAAGGAAGTTGGTAAGCAGATATCTGCGCCTCAAACCGTGCAAATGCCAACAAATTTATAGATTGGAATGTGAATTGAGGAGAAATATAAACAAATACTGTAGTTTTATAGAAAACACTAATCCGGAAGCAACAATTTCTTTTGGTGTTCAATATCTGATTTTTGACATCGCTTGTCTAATAAGATTTGATTTGTAGAAAGAAAAAATTGTTGGGATGTATGACGTATCTATTAAACAGAATCAAACAAACTCTCCTCGGCTAATTTTTTTTTTCATTTTATTTATATTTATGCTGTAAATTCAATTAAATTGTCCGTCAACATAATTTTTGGTAAGAAGTCTGAGGTTTATTTATACCAGAAAAATAAATAAAATATTTAATAAGATTCCTGCAACTATACGGAAGCGCTTTGTTTTTGTTTTTTGATGTCGTGAAGAATTTCAGTCTGCAGTGGGGAACAATGTTCATGCTATCAATGGCGATAATTCTTGAGAAAATACAAATATAAATAATGAAAATGTTTTGCAAATGACTATTTTATTACAAGCAAAGGATTAAGAAGTTATTTATCTTTAGCCTTTCGGTTCTACCAGTCTTAACCTTCGCAGCTAAGACCAGCCATGTTACGCACACTGTAGCAAACCACCCTCATTACCTTCGTATTCCATTGGTGAGATGTAAATTCCACTAGAGCAATATCTTCCCATGAACCACTGCTTTGTGGAACCGACAACAAAGAATTACAAACTTAACCTGTTCAAGCCTACCTTTCCCGTATATCCACATAAGCTGTGCCTCTTACTCTATAATTCTCTACCTTGAGTGGCCCTCAGGACTAGTACTGGGTGAACATCGTTGTAAAAAAAGCAGTTTTAATTCAGTATCCTATGAATAAATTGTACTAATATCTTGAATTTTGTCGTTTTTCTGCATCGCGTTTCAGTCGATGTGTTCCTAGTTTTCCCAAAGTGTATACTTCTACAGATAATCGATGATGGTCTTGTCAAGCTCACCTCTTCAGTTGAGCAACGAACACTTGATTATCGCTCTTATATGTGCAAAGCTAGAAACTGAAAAAGCTAAAATTTATCAGCTAGGAGAAACAACTGAGCGAGGCTGGAAATTAGTGACCGAAACAATAAATCTCATAGAACTAGGACGGATGAAAATACCATAAATGATAGAAACAACAAATTATCTTCTATGAGCCGTGAGCCTTCAGGAGGTGAGTGATCATGGCTCTCTACAATTTCTTAGTACGTGTTGTTCTTAGCAATGTTTGTCATCCATTAACAGTTAGATAGGAGTTATTCCCTGTTACCCTCTGTCTCTCTTGCTTTCAATATGTTTTATGGGTGTGCAATTTTCTAAGCCTTCTTTCTTTATTATGTAGCCTAAAACTTCAACTGCCTCTTTCTGTTTTTATGTATAAGGATCCGTTTCGTTTCCATTTTTCTTAAAACTTCCTCGTTGATTACACGTTTCATCTATGTGTTTATCATCTTTCTGTAGAACCACATTTCTCCAATTTCCTGATTAAATTACCCAGCGTTCACTGTCATATAGAATGTTTGATATTACATAGCAGTTCAGCATTCTTTTCTTTGCTTCTTTCTTTCCCTGTGTTTTAATATTTTGTTTAGTTTTTTGGAAGGCTATTCCAGTGCTCACTTCGAATTTAGGTGTCACATTTTCCGTCATCCATTAAAACACTTCCCAGATATTTAAACTTGTGTACATTTTTGATTTTGATATCACAAATCCGTAGTTCGCATCTTGGGATTTTTTCTTGCTGACAACTAAACATGATTTCTTACCATTGATGGTTAGCCCTTCCTTCTAGCTTTCCTTTACTATATACTCTGACAGTTTCTCTGTGTGTGTGTGTGTGTGTGTGTGTGTGTGTGTGTGTGTGTGTGTGTGTGTGTGTGTCCCACAAACACTGTGTCATCTGGATATTGTATGTTGTTAAGATTGTGCCCACTGATAATAATTCCTGGTAGGACTTCTATTTCTCGTAGGATTGCCGTGCTGTAAAAGTTAAATAAATCCGGTGAGAAGACGTATTCTTGTCTTACACAACCCCTTTCTAGTCTTATGTATTTACATTTATTCATATATTTGCAGGCGATTTGTTCCGAGTATAAGTTCTGGGTTATTCTAATATCTTTTCAAAATCAATCAAGTTTTGCTAAAAGTTTAACGCCTTTGAGCAACAATTACTTCTTGTATTTATTTCTAAAAGGCATCACTACAGAAACGCATTTGCAATTGTGATTGATATTCGGAGTCAGTTTTTCGCTACTTTTTTATTCCAGACACATCCCTCCTCCCAACGAGTTGAAGTTAAATATATATATATTGTATGTGTGAAATTGTTGGCCGCATTCGTTTAAATGACAGCATGGCTTAGCCCTAAAAATACGCAATCACCAAATAAGCACACATGCACGGACACACATGCACTTGCACAGACCTACACATATTGATACAAAGCCAGTGCTTAAAGGAGACAGTCGATCTGCCCTAATAAAAAAAATCGCTTTAAAATTAAGGAAGAAAAGAGTAGGAAAGAATAAAAAGAAGGGAAAGAAATAAGAGAAATAGAAAGAAAATGCGAACGATGGAATTGAATTTGAAGAAGTTTGGTTGAAAGAAAATAAAAACAAGGATATGAATAAATTGATCGATAAACCAGTCGATAATTATATATTTGGCTGCGAATTCGACGGAATGATGAATATATGACAGTTTTAAAATATTCTTTCCTTTGACATGGAAAACACAAAATTATTCTTATAAAAAAAGAAGATATTTTACTAAACTGCATTTCAGAAAAAGGTCACAGCAAAAGTTATACATGAAATACTGAGAATATCATGGCATAAATTTAACAACTTTCCATAAAAAGAAGAATGATGTTGACTGAAACTACACCGTCGAAATCTCTAAAATAAACATTGGACAAAGAGATTTTGTAAAAGTTACTATCCGGACGTGCAAACAGTAAATGAAAAACATGAGACGATCGTCAGATAATCGACGAAACATGTCAAATTAAACTTTAAACTTTCCAAACTAACTAAATATGAAAGATATTGTAGTGGACCGGGGGTTTACGTATTGTTAAATTAGGAACACGTGCATTTATTCCTGCTAGAAGGTCCACTACAAGAACATGGTGGACTCAGAGATTGAATCTACCATAAAGAAGTGTAAAGAAAACCAACAAGACCGATATATATATATATATATATATATATATATATATATATATATATATATATATATATATACAAAACAAGTATATATATTAAACAACAAAGTTTACAATGGACATAGATATTAACATTTATTTTTGTGTGTGAACGTAAAGAGGTTTTATTGTGGTGAATGTTCGTGTGTGTGTGTGTGTGTGTGTGTGTGTGTGTGTGTGTGTGTGTGTGTGTGTGTGTGTAATGTTCATGGCGTCTCCCACAAATGGGAAGACGCAATCTTCTGCGAGAGCTTACATTGTAGATGTGATCGCTGAAAATGAAGAAATGAAAAAGAGAACGTTTGGTTTGATTTGGTTTGGTTTGGTTTGGTTTGGTTTGGTTTGGTTTACGGCATATCAACATCAATGGTTTATTTAATGCCAAAATGACTTTTATTGTTAGCAATATCTTTTTTCAGAAATGTATTGCAGTTAATATTTTATTGCTGGTTTACACTTTCATAGTGTTTTAGCCCTAGTTTGGGCTTAACTATTTGCCCATAGTTGGGACCCTAACAGATGGTTCCATCCCGGGTCAGGGTGAACCTGGGAACACTAGCAATTAAGAGGTGGTTCCACGCTCCTCAAAACCTCCTGATCAATAGATCTTGCTGTTGGATGTAGTTTATCGTCATACCCAGGAGGCACATTGTTTCTCCCAAATACCAAATAACTGCCGGATTCACAAATGAATGAAATTATTTTAAAATATTTTTGTTTAGTAAATCTTGTTAAAAATATTTTTACATCTTATTAACCTCCCACTTAATTAATTTTATCAAATTTCGAGAAATTAAAATATCAGCCTCTTCATATTTATATTAGTTAAAAGTAGAACTTCTTTGTGAATTTAAATTATCAATTTCTTTTTGTCAAATATAAACACTATTTACCAAAAATCTGCTCTTAATCGTAAAATAAACAGTGCAATAAAACAATGACATAATTTAATTAGAAAATTTAATTGCTTTTATAAATAAGATATATTAAAACACACTATTGTATTAAAAAATTCTGATGAATAATAAATTTTTACAAGAACTGTTTTCATTTGTTTAAAATTTTAATTACAAAAATTTATTAGATTTTAAATCTTTTAAAATTCTGTATTAATTTCAGCCTTTTAGATATTTTTAGTTAGCGAAAACTGTATTTACTAATCATAAATGAAAAAGCTTAATACAAATCATCAAACACCAATGTTTTTAAAAGAATTTTCAAAATTCTTGTGTAAACGTGACGTTTTTTTGTAAGTACGGGTGACCATACACAACATTAGCAGAAAATAAGAGCGATGACTATAGGAAATTTAAAGCCAAAACATCTCAAATTCAATAAAACATTAGATTACGGAGAATATTTTCCTAAATTTTTAAGATTACTGATTACTTAAACATTAAATAATAACGGCTCACCACGTCATTTTCTTCAATTATGTTTTACGCATAAAGTCTCCGTAGAACATTACATTTATCACCTCGTCAAACACCTAAACAAATTTACTGTCATCAACACCTTAAATAAACAGCTACTGTCTGTTAAAAATGCATTTCAGCGATATTTAAACTTAAGTAAATAATATTTGTTTCAAATCAGATTCATTATACTTTAAATCAGCTATTATTCCTCAAATTCTCAGATTCAGAAAAGCACATTTTATTTTTGGAAGATTTTTTAATAAAAAAGATTTGCATTGTGATGTAATACGACTATCAGCTATTATTTTAGAAAAAAAAAACGAACTTGTTTTCAGTCAATTTAATTTAGTTTTTGAAATACAGCAAGCTATTTTGCTTATTGAAAATATTAAATTCAGTTTTTGAACTTGAAATTAAAACT